CCCCAAAACCCCAAAACCCCAAAACCCCAAAACCCCAAAACCCCATAGTCTAGCTGAATATTGAAAATTAATTTAACTAAATTAAAATAAGATTTCACGATTATGTTACGTATTAGTGTTGTAAAGGGCTATTTGGGGCCTTCAGTTCTAACTGAGCGGACTTCGCTAAAAGGTCTTGTCAATGAGTCTGGACTGGTAACTCTGTCTGGAACACTTCATTATTTGATTCAGCATTTAGGTTTTCTACTAGCTTAGACTTCTTGGTGGCATCTTGATTTTCGATTTCTACATCTGGCTTTCTCTTGGCTCCTCATAACGAATTATGCTCCTTCGAAATTACAGGAACATCAAAAGATCTGGAATGATGTGATGGTATTGTGGAGGGTGAAAAATGATGTACTGCCTCCTTTAGAGTCACATGATTGCTGTTTTTCTCCTCACAATGTTTGGCTACCATTCCTCCTTCTTGATGAGTTTTAGGTAATTTTTCATTCTTTTTCTGCTTCAGCATTTGGGTGAATTCGAAAGATTCTTGTCGAAGAGCCTTTAATCAATCTTTAGAATGTATTAGAAAGAACTGATTAGGGTTGACTTCTACTTTAGTGACACCAATGTAGAAGTCCTCTTCCTTTTTCATCTCTCTGAGGACTTGAAATTGCTCTCCTCAGATAAGGCAAGATGTGACGTCAGAGTTGAATTCTTCTCATGGAAGATGCTCTTCTATTGAGTATTCTCCTTTAGCATCACCTGAGCGGAGGTCAAACAGAGTGACTTTGTCACTACCGAGGCCCATGCTCTCTTTTCAGGCCTCACCAAGGAAAGCCTTCTTAGTGGAGAACTCAGTTCTGGTGTTAAAGCCACCTGATCTCTTTCATAAGTTTGCAAAATATTTTCTATTGCTTTCGAAGTGAACGTCCAAATGAGTTTTTAAGTCTGAATTTTGCATGAGCCTGATCCCTCAAACTGTGCACTGGAAAGCCCTATCGGAATAGAGTGAATTTACTGTATCTGAAATCTTAATTGATTTGGTCACTTCAGGATCAGTGATTGCTCTCTCTGGGTTCCAGCAGAGGGCTGTATCCAGGTTCCTTTGCATTTTTAAGTCTTTGTAAATACGTTGGTATTGTTTCCTAATGTAACTGAATAACCCTCCTAGGCTCGATCCTTTGCTATGATGTGCCCCTCTATAGTAAATATAAGTTTAACTGAAGAATTATAGGAAAGATTTTAGAAGTTATTAGATATGACTAATAAATTTACCTTTGTTCTAAACTGTCTTGATCATTGCAAGGATCTCTTTCATCTGCCCTTCCAGAATCATGTGATGTATCTAACTCTTTATTACCCTTGAGTCTGTCTGGCTATATGACGATTGGTTATGGCTCTAGTTAACATCCTTGGACATAGATTTTTCTAAAACTCTAACAGATAATTTGGCCAGGAAAATATAACCATAACCAGGACTTAATTAGTAAGAGAACTATACTGAATTTATAGCCTTAGGCAGCAGGTTCCGTACCTTTCTTATACAATTCCGTTTGATAGATAGGCTGCACTAGATGTGAATATTGCTGTTGCTCAATCCCAGGATTCTGCTCAGTTGGTTGCTGAGCCAGAATTTTAGAAGTAAATGAGTAGTCAACTGACTCATTTTCTTCTCTTGCAAAGAGTATCTTGTCCATTTCAGGAAGCTTCAGCCGTTCTGAAATTTCATCAAGAGTCCTCTTGTTAAAAATTCCCTTCCATGCTTTGAAAATTTTGATGAGCTCTCTTCTGTAGTTTTGTTCAGCATCTTTTAGAAAGGCTTGGCAGAAAATCTGTAGAAGTCTTGGTTCAAGATGATGAATGAATCTGTTGGGCTCCCTTTTAGCCATCTCGCTCAGTAGGACTATCTTTGGTAGCTTTGCTAATGAATCTGACTAATAGATTCAGCTTTAAGAACTTACCTTGTTTATGATCATAATTAGAGCTTGTGCTATTTTTCTATCAGTTTCAAGACTCATGCTTATCTCATCCAAAAATTGAATGATTTCACCAATATGCTCTAGATTTATTTGAACCAAGTGGTTGCACAATATTCCAAAGGTATCAATGATCTGATTGGGTTGCAATAACTCCGGATCTTGAGCTTTATGGATACCTCCTGCGAATGGTTGATTGGGTTCTAAACAAAATAGATCAAAGTCTTCCACCCATTACATTATACCACTTAATGCAAGAGTCTTACCTTCTACCTCGGCTGGATTTTGAGCGTCTTCCTCCATTAATTCAGAGATGATGGTTAAAAGATTTCAATAATTAGTTTAATAATTGGGGTTTTGGGGTTTTGGGGTTTTGGGGTTTTGGGG